TCTCATCACATTCCCTACAACAGCCTACACTATTACGATCGATGCAGACGCTTCGCTGGAATTTGTTTCAATAGGATTCTCGATGTTTTTTACCGTAAGTGGTTTTCAGATAGAGGAAGAGCGTAATGGCCAGCGTTAACATCAGTGACATTTTCATTCGGACAAAGTCAATTCCATCGGTGTGTTGGAGTTATGCACCTTTGACATTATGGTAGATTGAATTCTGTTCTGATGGATGTGTGAGTCAAGAAAGAAAAAAAACATGGTAGAGGTAATGGATTTCACTTGACATCCGGACGGTCGATTATACTAACTAAAATCCCCATTTCAACCATTTACATAATTTAACTTTCAATTCAAACCATGTTGAAATTAAAACATCAATATTTTTGAGATTGCTAATTTGTGAAAAAAAAAGAAACCAACCTGAATCACAATTATATATTCATAGAAAATGCAATCAACATTTACCCTCAAGATACTGCAGCAAAGCAAAAACAAAAATCATTAATAATTTTTCTTTCACTTCACTGTTGTCTTTTACGTTGTTGTGGTCTTCAAAAAAATTAAAATGTTGGCATAGCCTGAATATTAGGGTTGGACTGACAGAGTGCTGATGGCTGGTTCTGTAACAGGGGCAAATGTGTTGCTAAGATGGTTGCTAAGACAAGCTGGAATTTTCCTTGCGAATAGAGGCATCTGATTGGTCAATCCTTATGGCTCATCATTTTTAAGCCCAAAATGGTGATAATGACACAAACCCGTTACTGAGCTTGAGGAATTTACTTTTCAATGCAAGCCAACCCAAGCGAGTGGGGGCTAAACTTTGTCTATGAGCACGACATATACAATCTCTGGTTTGTGGTTGTAAACGGGACAAAATGTGCAAAAGTTCTAGTTGTATTAGTACTTTTGCACCCCACTGTAAACAATAACAAATCCAAAACAGTCACATATAGATTCCAGATATCACAACTCATGTAAACGTCAGACAATATGACCACTTATTATATGACTTGGATTGTACGAGCGCTCTGATTGGCTGATTTGCGGTCTTGGACCGTTACCATGACAATTGGTCCGCAGCGCGTATCAGATTTGATATCTTTCCTCTGTAAAAAAAGAAATAATGAGCGACGACTAGGAGCATTCTCTCAGTGAATTCTATTATCCGGACGAGTTCGAAGAGCCAGAGGAAGTAATAACAGCAAATAACGACGAACACACAACTCCTAACAGTCAAGAAGAGATTGACAACTCCGTTACCGACCAGAAAGGTAAAAACACAATTAGGAAAACCAAGTCGGACATGAACATACTTCACAAATATCTAAAAAGCATTGGTAAAAACACAGAAGAGATTGAGAACTTACCAGAGGGCGACCTCAATCATCTGATAAGCAAGTTCTCCATGTCACAATGTGTTTTTACTAGTCGAAACCGATCGATATTTGCACAAATTAAAAATAGTCATATAATAAAACATGTATTAACCTCGCTTGCTCGGTCTGTACAGAAAAATATCAGACCTTGGTCTTTTTGCACAGACCTCACCACGGCTCGGTCTGCACAAAAAGGCCGCGGTCTGATATTTCTTTGTAGAGACCTCGCGCTCGTTTAATAAGCCGTTATTATTCTATATTCACGATGCTCTTTGTTAAATGATTTTTGCTTAATTTTGATGTGTGGGAAAACTGAGAGAATCCCATGTCCACAGAACTGAATCCCGCTGGAGGGTCCGTCCGCGTAAGAAGCTTTTCCTGTCAACATTTTTACAGTCATCCATCTTTTTAATCTTAAACGCCTCTGACAGAACGTGTGAAGTAGCATTTCCCTAAGCCGCAGCATGAGATAACCCCGGCACGGAAAGCGGATGCCAAGCGGTATTCAAGCAGCCCTAAGCACCTGACAAGAGAACAATAGCCCCGTGACTTGATAAAGTGCTCCCAGCGAGAGAAAAAAACAACTCATTGATATGCAGAGGCGATAAAAATAGTCGTGCTCTCTAGCTATCTTCGGGCTCGCTCTCTCTCCATTCATAGTTTGTGGGATCGCGTCAAGGAGAGGTCAGAAGGACAGACTCACACACAAAGGTTCTGTGAAGGTTTGCTAATCAGGTGGTTGTGCTACAACCCAGAAACAAGAAAAAAAAAAAAAAATTATTATTTGGGTTCGCTTCCGTCTTGCGGGAGTTTATGCCAATTAAATACGGTGGCTGAGTGATTAGAACTTTTGCTTCTCAGAAAGACTATCCTGGGTTCATATTCTGCCTTTTAATGAAATGTTTATTATCAAACCAAACTTGCACTCATTTGTAGCGTGTGTGTGGGCGATAGTGAGTGTGTGTGTGTGTGTGTGGGAAGGGGCCGTATGAGTTGTGTGTACATATGTGTGTTTGACCTGTATAAATGAGTGATATGAATTTGAGGTTCTAACAAATTGTGCATGTGAAAAACTTGATCTTTAATGTATTTTGGCCAAATGAAAACTTTACATCCATGTATGTTTTTTATTTTTAAAGTAATATCATGACATCAGCCAGCCCAGGGAAGTTCTTGAGCTATAACCTGGTACAATACTTTTTTTTCCCTTTGAGGTAAAGGTTTATTGTACACTGTCCCTGTCATCTTAAATAACTAAACTAAAATAAACTAAACAGGGCATTTCTGAGTGGAGCTTGCATGTTAACCTTGTGTCTGTGTGGGTTTCCTCTGGGTGCTCCGGTTTCCCCTACCTCTAAAAATATCCACAATAAGTAAATCCTCCAGCTCTGGTAGTCCTGACCAACATCTGGATATGGGTCGCTGCTCCTGATGGAAGTCTTAATGGCATCAGGATGAGTCAAATGCAGAGGACGAATTTCACTACGGGGACAATAAAGTGCACATTTACATTTCACATTTACATAAAACATATATACAAACAATTTAGGTACAACAATTAGTAACCCAGTCTTAAAGCCCAACATACAGAACTGTATTGTAATGGTTCATGTGACGAGAGAGGTATTTATTTTCAGCCGCCCCAGTCTCGGTTCCCATCACCAGTGCCTCTCCCCGTGGTCCTGTGTGACTTATGCAAACCAGCAAGATAATATGGAAATCTGATTGTGAAATGGAGGAGTATTCAGAAAATAACTGAAGCTAATTATTTTGTTTGTCGGATAAATTCACACTGTTAATTTTGTACCGAACCTGCTCATCAATGTCAGGGCCTTGTTAGTAGTTGATGAATATTGCAGTGATGGGGGCTGGTTGAGTCAGGACGCTGCCCTCATGTAGACTCAGATAGGCAGCTGTGGCTCTCTTTCACTGAAAAAGCTGATCTAAAGCAGACTGTCAAAAAAATGTTTAAATATTGAACCAACCACAAAATATGTAGTTTTGATTTGGAGGACTTGTGCTGTCCTCGAGTCAAAACGACCCGCCACAGTGATTACAGACGGAGCAGGGATGTCAAACTACTCCCCTGCACACAACTCCATCCACTTCCTCAGCCTCCAGGTCCAGACTCCCTTGAGGAAATGGATGGAGTCCGATGTGCTCCTCCGTTGTTGGAATGAAAACCCGCAGCCTGCACACTGACCCTTTCTGGAACCCGTCCGACAGCCCTGGGCGGGAGGATTTGTGGCTTTGTAGAACTCCATCTTAGCTCTTGTTAAAAACCTCAAAATGAAACGAGATTCCATTCATCCTGTCTGTTTTCTTTCTTTCTTCCTCTTGAGACATAAAAACTACCCTCTGCTTAAAGACACCGTCATTACTCAGAAGACAAAAGGTGCAGATGCAATTGTCTTAACTTGTCAGTCATCCCATTTAAGTTAATTAAGGAGCAAAAACCAATCTATGTCACACAATAGCTACGCAGAGACATTATTTTGCAGCAAACGGCAGAAGAAAATACAGAGTCTATTGTTGGTGTTATTTTGAGCTGTAGGTGCAGAACAAAACCATGGCAGTTGTGTTTTTGGGACGGGGCGTGTGTGGGACATAAATGATGGTAGAACAGAGCGAGTGGGCGCCTCTGATTGTTTTTACATCGTAGCTTGGTGAATAGAACTATTTTGGGGCAGATAAATTTGGCTTTTGTCAGAAGGGCGGCCATTTTGAAGCATCTATTTACTGGAGTTTACATAATACATTGACGAATACAGTCAGTTGTAATTGTAATAATAATAATAATGATAACAATAATAATGCCTCAGTTTTATGGAGCGGTTTTTATCCATAAATCTAATTAAATACATTGTGAGAAATGATACTATGAGAAGCCCATCCTGGCAGTAATGATAAAACATATTAACGCATTGACTGCCAGCCGTTTTTGATGATTTCACTGATTCTCAAGTTGGGCTATGTGAAATATGAAACCAGATTCTGAAAGAATGGACTGTCTACTTTCATCAGCAAATTTCGTTTGCTTTTAGCTATTTTTGTTGTCCTGTAATCCCCAGTCGAATAGAGGGAAGTTTGACAGAAATCATGTAAATAAATATACAACTATTTTGGTTTTCCCAGACAAAGACTTACGCAACCTCAATTTAAAAAAACCACAAACATCAGGAGTTGGATCTTTAAAAAGCTTCAAACAGAAAGTAGCATTTGCAAAACTGTTTCTTTGCCTTCAGGACTAAAATAATGAGGCTTTTGCTTGTCATTCTATTCGAGGATTCTCACAAATATGGACTAAACAAGGTAAAGAAACAGGACGAGGGGAAAAGACACATCTACCGTCATAAGTTATGCTCATTCATGCAATTAAAGTCTTCTGCACCAGTTGGCATTGAGTGGGAGAACGGCCTCCAGAGACCGCACGCAGGACAAATACTGGAGCTCTGAGCGAGATTCATGCGTCCTTGTCCGGCTTTCATTCGTAAACTTGACAATGTACCTTTGATGGTCATTTTTGGCAGTTTTTCTCTATAAATATTTTTTTGTGTAGAACATACTTGAGCACATTATGAGTTTGTAATCTTGTGCTTTTGTTGTGATATGGTAAAGATGAAGAGGCTGGTGGTCTGGCTGCTTTGGAAATGGAGGAATCTAAAACAGTTGAATTAGAGAAGGTCTAAGTTCATTTTTTTATATAGTTTTTTTTTATTTTCAATGTTGAAGTTTTGGTCCTGGATAGACAATTAAAATGTTAGGCACACATTCAGACCAATTTTAATTAAGACTGCTACCAAATTATATATTCTATCCATTAATCTTGACTGCTATAGTCACTTTTAATTGTATATCTTGCACAAAAGAGCCTATATTTTAACCTTTTAACATGCTGTGTTTTTGCTGAGTGATTCTATAGATGCCAAATGTGACATGTACATTTCTCCATTGTGAGATCAATAAAGTTTATCTTATCTTAGGAACAGCCAAAGCTCTATGCACAAACAGGCACTGAAAGTGACGGATGACAGCCCATGAGAGGGCATTATTGTATAATTTTAGAACAACACCATATGGTTCTGCACGACGACTGAAGAACCAATCTGCTGAACTGAACCATCACCATCACAAAATCTAAATCAGATAAACTGCAAATAAAACCAGTGAACAGTGGTGCCTCTTTGAGAATGTAAATAGTGTTGTATTGCACTTTATGTTTTATCTGTTTGTGTTTGGGACTGGTTCTGCAAAATATCCTTTGGAGAGATGGTTTATGAATGTGACATCAGATACTGTGTAATGTAAGAATGTTATTTGTCCTGTCAATTCCAAATAAACTACTAACTACATCAATGCTACAATTTATTTGAATCTGTATTTTGTGGTTTCTCCCTTTAGATTTGCATATTATTAACAAGTGAACCCTTTAACATGGTTTTTAGTACTTAAATGTGTGTTTGTGTTGTTAATCACTTTTGGCTTCCTCGAGTGCAATACAAATATATTTGGATTGATTGATTGATTCCATGTCTTACAAGTCGATAGATTGAGAGATACAAACAGTGTATTGGCTGATGTGTGGAAGAGAAATCCAATGAGGCACTTTTATGGGAGGATAATGAGGAGCTACATAACGATTTGGTTGTTCCCACTAATTAAATTAGTGGTTGATCACAAATGGTTTGTGCTCTTTGAAAAATTCCTGTTAAGGTGGAAAACATAATACACTTTATATGATGTTATCCAAATGTTAGTTACAGATATGTGACAAACTGTTCATGTATGAGACTGGTAATAACAGGTGTTTGTTGTGGTTTAGTCCCGGCAGACGCCTGAAGGGGAGTTCCTGCCTCTGGACCAGTGTGAGCTGGACGTGGGCTTTGGGACAGGTGCAGACCAGCTCTTCCTCGTGTCGCCTCTCACCATCTGCCACGAAATCAACACCAAAAGCCCGTTCTTCGACCTGTCGCAGCGCTCACTGATGAACGAGCAGTTTGAGATCGTGGTCATCCTCGAAGGCATCGTGGAAACTACTGGTGAGCACTGGTTTTGTGTGTGTCGTTTTGATACAACCAGTGTTTAATGAAGCAATATAGTTTAACGCTGATATCTCTCTTATGTCTCTCAACTTTTGACTTCTACTTTAATGTAACTTTGAGTAACTTTTTTGATCTGCTACTTATCTATCAGTATGATTAAAAAGAAAAAAAACCTTGGGCATGGGAAAAAGAATAAATGGTTATAAGCCTAATTGTAAATATATGAAATCTGCCATAAAATAAGCTACGGATTACCACCTGGATCTATCTTGGCACAGCTCTGTGCTCTATGAGTGTCTAGTTTACAGTCATTTAAAACAACTTCAATACTTACATCAGGACAGCTCTCCTCTCCGCAGATATGACTTGTAACTTACACTTGCGTGTCTCCAGTGTAGGTGGAAACTTTGTTTCTGTATACTGTGGACAAATCTAGGCAAAACAGAAGTGTTAACTTTAGACGAACCTAAGCACAAAACTAACCTACAGTGCATTTTTTTTTTTTAACTTTATTTACATATTAAGGCATGGCCATATTGACATTTGAACACTGCTGACCCCCTCTGACTGTACACCATATTCTGTACGTAACTAACGGATCACTACTCTATCACATAGTTAAACCTGAATCTAAAATGCAAACCAGAAGAAAGCATAAAAGGCTGGTACATGAATATTGTGCTCACACAGATCTGTTTAGAGGCGCTTCGTGCATAATCCAGGCCGCTGGTCACGGACGCCACACTGATGAATGAGTGCAGCTTTTGGGGACGTTACAGTCGCTCAGGGTAAAACAATTCTACAGCTGCACGACAGAGGGACAGATCATGAGGACAAATGGATCTGTGTTATCTCAATGATGAGTGAGATATTTAGTGTTTGGCAAATAAATCCAAAAGGAATCGTGCGGCATCGAGCTTGAAAAGGGAGCTAACTTTACAAGGACCACTGATACAAGGCAGGGCAAGTTTATTTGTATATCACAGTTCATATAAGGCAGCTAGAGAAGATAGAGACAATCATATAAGGCATTCAATTCATCAATAATCACAGTAAGTAAGTAAGACCATAAGGAGTCCAGTCCCTGTGCTCCTCAGAGTCTGAGTTTGGTGCAAGGCCATAGAGAGACTTGTACAAAGGCAGAACTCCATTAGAGTCTGTTCTCTGAGCCACAGGACCCCGGTGCAGAGACCTCAGAACTGGACTAATGTGGTCGTACTTCCTGGTTCTTGACAGGACTCGAGCTGCAGCGTTTTGAATGTACTGCTCGTTTGGAGCTGTAAAAAAATATGGTCTATTTCGGACATTTGCAGCTAAGATTTTAGGAATGTATTTAAGTTGTTATATCAAGCCACTTAATGAAACAATTTTGTTGTTTTCTCCAAATATTTTTTTTGCTAAATATGACATAATATGTATATTTCTTCAATGCTTTTATATTTACATGAAAAAAGAAGACGATGCGCTGACTGAAAAAGCTGTAATATACTGTAAGATTATATGCAACACAAAATCAAAATTTTCAATTCTCAAACTTTATACACTTGAGAAACATTCTTCCCTTTCTGAGTTTGTTCCAAATTGCAGAGCACACAGCAGAGGCCGTGGATGGGGGTTCAGGATTTCTGAAGCGTCTTGATTGCAGGACTACTACTTTCAGAAGGTTTCTATCCCAGACACAGACAGTATGACAGGAGTGGACTGGCTGAGTGCTGACATCACCCATACTGAACATGCTGGAGACAATGTCCTTATATGGGCATTTGTTACACTGTGTTTGTTGAGTCATAACCATAGACTGTAAATATTACCGGACGTAGTGACGGCTATTTCCTCCATTGAAATGTATGTGCCACAGACATGGGCAGATTCAAAATGGCCGCAGGAAAATGAAATGCATTTGTGAGGGTGTAAGACGGCACAATCCCCATTCATTTAACAAGGGTCTTCAAAAGTCCACAGTGGCTAAACCAGGCTGGTCCAAAAAAAAAAAAACACTCCCCTCAGCATTGGCACACATCTGGAACTTAGCGTTGAGCCAAGAGCCAACTTTTGGACCAGGCTGAAAAGCTGTTTTAGAGAGGAAAGAAGGTGTCGTAAAAATGAATTGGATAATTCTGTTTCCGGGTACGCCACCACCGGCAAGGAGCCAGATTACAGGCATGTCAGCGCCCGTGCTCATGGACCTTTTTGAGCTGGGACCCGCCCCCACTGGTCATAACAAGGGCAGCTGTGTTGCTAAGGTGGTTGCTAAGTTAAGCTGAAATTTGAATTTCCTCCACAAATGAAGGCTGATGATCTGATTGTTCAATGCTTACAGCTCATATAATATCAAAATAATACCCTCAGGAACATAGAAAGGTGACACAGAGAGGTGCTGGCGGGTTAGAATTGTCCATCTATATACAGTTTATTATCTCCCATGTGTCTCCCATAGTTATACGTTTGGGCTGGAAGGTTTGGAACAGCTTTTTAAAATGTGACTTTACTAATTTGTCTGAATGTGTCTCCGAACATGCTGTGGCATTTTCAGCATAGTGATTCCCTCTAAAACAGAAACTACCAATGATTTTCTCTATCTCTGTGGCGTGGCTGGTCTTCCCTCTCTCTTTGCTGTCACAGGAGGCAGTGCAGGGTTGAATAGGCTTACAGCAGAGGGAGGATCAGCGGGAGGCCTGCACTCTGTTGATAATGGCACTAAATCACACAAGTTTGCTGTTGCAGAGCAGTGGAAAGGGAAAAGGCAAGTTCCGCTGGTGCATCTTAGAGACACATGACACAGCAATCGCCAACCGCTACTAACGTCTTACTCAGTTACGTAATAAAAGATTTGCCGGTAATATTCCCTCATCAAGAAAAGCTGGATTTATTTGCAAACTCTTCCATATGAAGAGTAAAGCGGATTTGTATACATATGGTGTGGGAATGCCCGGGAGTTTTACACTTTTGGGAGGTGGCATTCTATAGTTTCTTTTTTGTTCTGTTCTGTTCATCTTTTGAGCTACTAAAATATGACTCACTTTTTAATCTATGTAAAAGAAAAGGGGAAAAAGGTTCTCCCGACTGGGCTGACGGCTGCATAAAGTAGTTGCTACCCAATGGAAGTCTCAACACTAAAACAGGCCATGTCATTTATTGATATTGTAGAAAGAAATATCAAATCTCTGGAATGGAACAGTGAGACGTTAAGATACAGATACAGAAGTTAATTTTGGCACAACTTGCACCGAACACATACAGTCGACAAAATATTGCTCAATGAAGTCTCAGGGGCACGGGAAACATACATTTCATTTTTACTTTTTCAAAATTGCAATACAAAACTCTGCAAAGCAAGTCAGGGTACACACATCTTGTAGTGTTCTGGGGAAAAGAAACAATTGAATTATTTCATATCTAAACTACAGCTACTGTAAACCTCACAAACACAGCAACAACCACAGCAGTCGAACCTCTCCTCAAGGGTTACAACCAGAGAGTAGCATCTCCCCTTTGCATCCACAGAGCAGAAAAACATGTATACAAGGACTACATAATATCAGATCGCTACACTATATATACAATTCAAATGTTAGTAAATAAAATGGTAAAATACATAAAACAAACATTAATTTGCACAAGCAGCTAGACATAAATAAATATATATATACGTAGACCTAGCCTGGTCTTATCATATCGCACTCATCACTGAGGGAACTGCAGCCACTGAGATCAGACCCAGACGTACATGTAGGGAAATAATAGGACGACAGGAGCTCAGTTTGTAGAGCATTGGCCTTTGAGCCAGAAGGTCGTGGGTTTGAGCCCGACTTTCACCATTGACTCCCACTGATGTCTGCTGTCGTTGTGTCCTTGGCAAGACACTTAACCTCTGGGAACAATATGAGCCACAGTGGGGCTGCTGTGGCTGTAAAGTGCCAAACTGCTGTTGTGTCCTTAGGCAAGACACTTCACCCCTATTGCCTAGAATGAGTCTGGCGTGTGTGTGAATGGTTGGTGGTGGTCGGAGGGGTCGATGGAACATACTGGTTGCCTCGCTTCTGTCAGTGTGCCCCAGGGCAGCTGTGGCTTCATTAGTAGTTTATCACCACTGTGTATAGAGTGAAAGAATAATGACATGTAAAGTGTCTTTGAGTGTCCAAAAAAGCGCAATATAAAACCGATGCGTTATTATTTTTATTATTATTATTATTATAATAATTTACCGCAGTTTACGGATGGCTTTAATTTGAAATTATTCAAATCAATGGAGCGTTCTACTTCTACTGTGAAGAGCCGTTTAATGATAATATTTGTACACAGACATTTGGGATGGAGATAAAATAACAAAGGGGAGGAGTCATTTATTTGAGTGTGTTGTTGTTGAGTTGAACAGAAGTATGTGCTATAGGCTGTTATTGTGAAAGACTTTGATTCTAAAACAATACAGTTTTTTTTGTTTTTTTTTACCTTATGTGACGTATGTGGAGGATAATCTTTGGTGTGCGAAAGTCAAATCTGTGGAGAAGCGAGCTCCCATATTGGATGGAATAAAGTCAATGTCACTAAATCAGAAAAAAATCTAGTCAGAAATGAATGCCACTACGGAACTCAATAACGTCGCCTTTTCAGTCACCCCTATAAGGAATCTCATTTAGCAGGTGCACATAAAAGGAAAATTATGTCCCAATTATATTCAATGGCGCTGACTGTGCTGTTTTGCCTTTTGTCTCTATTGTATTTCCATTATTGCTGTCAGTAGATTCACAGACAGCTAAGCAGAAAAGGTAATTCTGGAGAGGAATGCCTTCTTCAATAGAGTTATTTCACTACATTCGTAATTGGAGAGTTAAATTATTAGATCATTGCCGCAAAGTGTGTCAGCAGCAATACCAGTCAACCAGTGGGCTGTGAGTGTGAACAGACTTGTGAAATGTCCAAATGTGGCCAAAAACACCAGAAGAAAACATTCTGAAGGACCACTTGAAACCGAGACAACGTTACTAACTGGTATGAAAGGAAACATGGATGAAGCGCAGCAGTAGTGGTTGTGGGTAACTTGATGAATGTGGAGTGAGGCCCTAGCAAGCATGACACATAAATGTATACATGCATCAAGCACGGCATTGTGGGTAGTTTTGTCATAAAGGTGGGCATCAAATCCAGCTGCCATATTGGATTACTTGTTGTGAACGTGATCTCTCTCTCTTGATTCCAGCCCATAGATTGTTTTAATAGCTAAAAAATTCACAGATTTCAGACATTTTGAAGGTAAGGTAAAGATTTTTTTATTTAACAAAAAAGCAATGCCTTTTTTTCTTGTGGTTTTAGATGTACACACAACCGACTGACTATAGTAATCCAAGTAATCCAATATGGCAGTGTGATTTGATGCCCACCTTTTTGACAAATCTACCCACAATGCCGTGCGGTCGAGCCGGAAGCTCGGAACTCTTGATGCATGTATATAAAGGGACAAGGCTAATACTTTTTCCCACTGAGTTTTTTAAGAGTTTTTCCTTGTCGATGCAGGAGGGTCTTGTTGGACAGTTAGTGTCCAACAGAAAGGATTGGTGATGATCAGGACACTTTAGCATTCTACAACATGTATGGACATTTTCTTGTGTGTGTGCTTTATATTCTTCATGTGTTTTAATTGTTGAATCTCTGACCTGTGTTGGTGATTTCAATGGTTTTGTTAAGTCCTCTGAGATGACTTCTGTTGTGACCTAGGGCTATACAAGAATACATTGTATTGTATTGTAATTGTACTTTAGTTCAATGAAGGCCAACAGGGAAGTGATATGGACGAAGTTTAGCTCCAAGAAGTGCTTATTAACACTGTCCCAGCCGATTCAACAAAATATCAGATACTGTACTTTTGATAACTTACTTTATACATCACTTATCTTATGCACAATTAAGTTCATGTTACAAAATTCACACATACAGTATATATTTACTACTATGATCTACTTGTGTAAGAAAAATTATGTCTTATTTGAATTGCTTGAGGAAAAAGCTTTTAATGATGTACTTTGCCTGGCATCCATTTGACTGCCCCACATTTTCCTCTAAACTGTAATTTTAAAATTCATGGAGGAAAGGTAAACAGAGCTGTTGGTTGGGCGGCACGGTGGCTGAGTGGATAGCACTCTCGCCTCTCAGCAAGAAGGTCCTGGGTTCGAATCCCGGTCGGACCAGGGCCTTTCTGAGTGGAGTTTGCTTGTTCTCCCCGTGTCTGCGTAAGTTTCCTCCGGGTACTCCGGTTTCCCCTACCACTAAAAACATGTCCAATAGTTCTGGCATGCGCCTCCTGTACTGGCGACCCGGCTCCCATCTCTGTGTGGAGTGAGAGACAAATGCCCAAAAAATTAACAATTGTAAACCGCTTTGAGACTCAGATCTGCAGTGAAAAGGCGGTATATAAATAAAAACTTACTAACTTACTAACTTACTTACTTAAAAGGCTTAATAATGCAACAGGAAGCAGTGCCAGTCCAAGCTAATGCCCAAAATACCCCTCTGAGACTCCACGGCCCCACAATCTGCCCCGGGTCTGCCAAAACTCTCCCCAGAAACCTTTCATTTCAGATCAGCGTGTAGCCAGCATTAAGCAGCTGGTTTGGAATCTTTAAGATGCAGGAATAATGAGGCGCAACGCTTTGTCTGCCACTGAGAGACGGAAGCTGTTAGATACACTTAGGCATCATTTTACTGAAAAATTAAACAAAAGATAAGATAAATAAAATGTGATTTTGAGATGGAAGTACTATAGAAATTATCTGCGGATGAATGCAGGGAAAAAGGCTCAAGTGCTTTGCCCTGTGACACAATGACAGGCAATATGCGATCAGGTTTAAAAGCCAAAACGTCACTTTTTTTACCGGTTATAGCAGTTGAAGATTGTATGGTACATAACAAGGGTCTCCAACCTTTCAAATCAATCTATTCTTGTAAGGTCCTAAATCACAACAGCACTCATCTTGGAGGACTTTACAATGTTGTGGATTGATCAACAGCAGATCAGAGAAACGAACCTTTTGAAGACAGGAAATGCAATAATTCAATTTAAATTATATTCAATGTATAATTATATAGCACTAAATCACAACAGTAGTTATTGCAGAGGACAAAATCGCTAAATTCGCCAACACTGATCAGAGAGTCAAACAGTTCATCACAAGAAATGCCACAATAGAAACACATTGGTCACATTGGAGACATTGGTCCATAAGGGATAGATGACCATTGTCCATAAATCTTGTTGAATGTTGAGTTGAGTGTCCTGGGTCATCACCACTGTCCTTTTAGTCAGACCCTCTAACAGTCTGACTATAAAAAATAACTGAGTTCTGAGAGTCTGTGAGATTGTTGTTGAAGAAGAGTTCTGTTAATGTCAAACTTCGACCATGGCCAGTGGAATGTGGAAGATTAGGAGAGAAGCCTGCAGAGACTCTGAGAAAATACACAATTGCCATATCAGAAGAATACATATTTAAGCATATTTAGCCGATCAAACACGGCACATTTGACTGTAAATCCATCGGAGACAATAGCTGGTGCCCCGGTACACGGGGCCTGTCCACGGGGGTCAGAGAATTCAACCATGAGTCGCGAGTTTGTATAATTTCCCCTCCGAGAGTTTATGTCAATTCACAGAACGCATTTTAAGATCTTTCAGCCAATGTTCGACCTCTAGCACATTCTGCTGTGATGCCATTGCGCTCTCAACCAGCATCCTGGTCAGCTCCTCGTACCTCTCCCCATTTGCAAAGGACAGCTTTGTTTATTTTGAAATCCTTGGGGAGCTACTTGTACAGGGGGCTACAGGCTACAGGTTGTCGCAAAAGCACAAATACATCTAGCACTATTGCACATTTTGTCATGTTTGTCGCAACATAAAGCTCTTTTTTAAACTTTGTCTTTTGTCGAATTTTTACACTGTATTTTTGCCGGATCTCTCTTAACATCTTATACCAGTATCAGCTCATTTGATACTTATAACAGATACGAATTCCAGTACAATTGAAATGTTGTAAGGCTTGTTGAGGCTTGACCCCCTCGAGTCTGGACACTCTCTCCCTTTGACCATAATGCCAAAGAACTCCAGGGTTGTAGAAAAAAAGGCAGTTAAATCTCAATATTCCCCAGTAAAGGTTACGATCAGTGAAGTGTGTTGCATTGTGGGCTGATACAAACCTGTGACGACTGACCTCTTGCCATTGATGTATCGATGCGTGTTTGGAGCTGAGATAATTACATCCATTAGAAGAATCTGCAGTGAGGTCGGGGCACAGGGCACGCAGAGAACAAGCCCTGCCCTGACCGAGACCTGGGTAAACACTGGTTAGGGAATCACCTCCGAAAAGTGTGATAATTTAATAATGTCTTCCAGAAGTGAGCAGTTCAGTCTGAAGGCTGGCATTGTTCCATGAAATCTTAAAAAAACACAAGTCTTAGCTATTTAAGCTGCAAAAACATTTAATTTCTACCCACAATTTGTGTTTTCCTGTGCATATTGCTTCTTGTGAAGGATTTATCCAAATTATTTACAAAACAGAGAATAGCTTTTCTGAATAGTTAAGATACAAGAATTTCTTTGCCATTTGCAGTAAACCACATTGGAAAAGCGTTGCAAGACTACCCCAGTGTGCACCAGACAGCATTAGGGGTAGGGTTCAACCAGATCTCAATCCGAAATGCCATTAAATGTATATATAGAACTGGTCCCTTTACCACAGATGTCATGCTAGTCTCTTCTTCCCGCAGGTATGACATGCCAGGCACGGACCTCGTACACGGAAGACGAGGTTCTGTGGGGCCACCGTTTCCTACCCGTGATGTCTCTGGAGGAGGGCTTCTTCCGCGTGGACTACTCCCAGTTCCACAACACCTTCGAGGTCCCCACCCCGCCCTACAGCGTCAAGAAGTTTGAAGAGAAGAACGGCCTCCCCTCCCCTCTGCACACCCCCACCCCTGCCCTCACCAGCGACAGCCACGGGGCCAGGCGGGACCGGGTGTTTTCCGTGGACTGCATAAACGCTATAGACGAGAGGAATCGCCAGGGAGGTGGAGGGGGAGGGGCAGGTGCCGGCGGGAGACTTCCGAGCAAACTCCAGCGCATCAGCTCGTCGGGGAAGGAGGACTTGCAAAGGAAAGTGCTGCTTTTGAGCTCGCAACATTCGGAGAAGGCGTGCAGCACCGGAGACTTGCCCCTGAAGCTGCAGCGCCTGAGCTCGTCCACGGTGAACGAGGCGGAGAACAGGCTGCAGCTCAAGTCGCTGAAAGTGGGATTCGAGCCCATGACGCAGTCCACGGGAGATCTGTACGAGCAGAGCCTGAAACCCGCGCTCTGCCCGTCTCCGGTGCCGATGCACAGTCCGCACTTGTCGGGAGGGAGGCCTGAGGATAACCTGCCGCCAAAACTGCGCAAAATGGCTGCCGATCGCTGAACAGTTAAAAAAAATAACAAAAAAACTGATGAGAATATGCTGTACTAGCCTGACCAGCTCCTTATACATTCTGACACCTGTGATCAGTACGTATGGAGGGTCTGAGGGCGCAAATGTTTCCAGAACCTCGAGAAGAAAACGTTTGCTGAACTGGGATCTCACCATGCGTCCAAATGAATATGTTTCTCCTTCCTTGTCCTTCCTTCTCTTTTTGATTGAACTTCTGTGGCATGAAATTGACTAAATTGGCAATAAAACACATTAGAGTGAAGTCAAACAAGCGATTTAAGCAAGAATCTGGACGCAACATTTACAAAAATAGTGTCTCCTCTTGCTATTTGCTAGCTAAAGTCAAAGTTGGGGACATTAGATACCTGATTGATGAGTTGTTAGGGCTTATATCTGGATAAATAATGATAATGATAATATATTATACTTATATTGCACCTTACATTTCCAGAAAACCCCAAAGTGCTACAGATTAAAATACGATTTATAAAGATAATATCAAAGTTTAAACACTAGGATCGCAGAGAGCACAAAACCACGTCATTTTATGCCCGAAATGGTGAGTGTGAGCGGTTCCTGAGCTAGAGGAGAGGATGTAAGTCATATCGAGCCAGATCGAGTTGGTGCGCAAAACTTCGTCCATGAGCACATCCTCATCGGGCTTCATTGAGCCATTGGATTAGCATTGTCCAGCTATATAAGGTCACTTTTGAAGCGAAAGGAAGTACAAGGAGGTATTCTTGCCCAATTCTGACTTTACACAAAAATCCAAGATGGCCGCTTTGCTGTAGACACTTCCTGATTCCTCTGACTCTTTCGCCGTCCAATCAAATGCAACCAAACACGGCTCATAAATGTGTGGCCCGGGACAGTGATTCAGACCCTCACGTATTTAAAAACGAATTCAAGTCGTTTGGTTCTGGCAGGTCAGGAAATTACCGTACTGTACTGGCGTCTTGCTATACGGAGATGATTATTTTTGCAGTTCTGCTGATTCGACAACACTTGGATTTGCTGTGGTTTATTTCCGTTCGGTTGCTCTGTTTCTCGCATTAATCGGCTGGGCACAGGCTTCATGCTTTCAGATTATGCAGCCCACAGATGTGCATGTAAATCTATACTTTACTGTATGCACCACGACACCCATTACAAACCCAGTTACAAAACGTTGGGACACTGGATACGATTGACGTCATAACAGAAAGCCCGCATTGAGAAGTGATGTGTCTTTTCAAAGTGCTACTTGTTATGCTATTCCCAAATGTGTTGTTGCATATGAAGAGTCAAGACATTACTAGGAACTCTTTTATTAAAGACGGGGTACCTAACTTTTCCCCTCTTCATTATTATCACTGTTTCTGTCACAGCAGAAAGAGTTTCTCTTGTAAGAAAGTACCATGCAGAGTACTAATTGATTCTGGGCTGAGAGCTCACTTTTCGGTTCTTAAGATTGAAAACTGGATTGGATAAAACTGTTTTTAGAGCGAGGAAGCTTCTTACTATTTCATTTTATAATTGGTTTAAAAGTTGTGTACCTCAGCTTTAACTTATTGCAGTATTTATGCAGCTTAGTTTTTTCATAAATTATTCATACTAAGCATTTTTTCTCTTAACCTTCACCCAAAATATAATACATTCATACCCACATTTCCAAGTATGAGTCTGGTGTTTGTGTGAATGGTTGTAGTGGTGGTTGCCTCGCTTCTGTCAGTGTGCCCCAGGGCAGCTGTGGCTACAATACTCCGTGCATGGAGTGAAAGAATGATGCCATGTCTTTGAGTGTGAAAAATTTGCCATATAGAACCCATGCATTATCATTATTATTATTATTATTATTTTATGAACGCACTTCACATGGGGTAAAAATACTAAAAGTAATACCAAACAAACTGTATCAGGTATCAGTCCAAAAGTGTCCCAACGTTTTCTCAACACAGGTTTTGTAGTTAGTTTATCAAATCTTAATTAAATTGAGTTCATAATAAATGCAATTTGCTACGTTCTGTGTGTGTGTGTGGTTATTTGCGTCTCAGTGAAGGTGGCCACTGCAGCTTGCCAGATGTCGATAAACCGTTTGACAGTGTAATGCTGTTTTAATAGGCCGTAGTTAATGCCCTAACGTTGTCCCTCTTGGCAGGCGACGCATTATCAGCCGCAGCAAAGCTATCATTCTCTGTGTAAGTATGTGAAAGACATTACAGCTGAAGTGCTTATTGGAGAATCTAATGGCCGTTTTTTCATTCAAATAGATGTGGCCAGTGAAGCAGTTTACGGCAGAGATATGCCAAACAAAGAATTATTCACAACGTCTGCTGATCAGGCAGAAACCAAAGGATGGTGCTTTGTCCCTGACCAGAGTGTAATAAGGAGAGGACTATTGAATTGAATTGAACTGAAGACGGATGTCTCTGGGTTCAAGTGGTTTAGTTTCAGCAACGTTCTCTCACGGCAAATGTTAAATGGAATATATTAAAACAAGTAAACATTCAGCATTTATGCCTTACATAAAAAGGACATTTGTATTGTTGTTATGGGATTGCAGGGGGAATAAAAGGGAACACTGCTGGTGTGTACGTGTGTGTGTGTTTGTATTTTTGTGTGTCTGTACATGTGTGGGTGTGTCTGCCTGAGTTTATGTGCGTGTTTGTGTGTGTAGTGTACCATGTTTGTACGTGTCAGTGTGTGTGTGTGTATGTAACAAATTCAGATTCAAGCATTTCTTATCATTTTTAATCATTTTTGGAATATGGATTTACCAGTAATCGGACAAACCGGATATGCCGCCTTTACTGTAGCAAGACAATTCTAATTTTAATTTCATAACAAACCAATAGGAAAAAAAGCACCTTTAACTGAAAACCAAGCAGCATGCTCGATCGTGGAATTTGGATGGAAGATAACGTCTCAACACATTAATCTTTCCAAATGGAGTCCTTATCCTTTTAATAGAAGAATGGTGTGACATTTGCATACAACTGGAATTAACCTACAAAAGCTCATCATAAAGAGCGCTAATCTCGTACATTCTCTTTCCATATTCTTGGTGTCAGTCCTGCCAGTTTCCAGAGAACCTAAGCCTTCATTTCAGCAGCGCCTGTAGCACAAAGACAGTTAAATCAATAGCTACAAGGAGATTTCCCTGCTCCATCTACAACAGGGAATGACCTGCCCCCCATTTCATGGAGGTGAAGAGAGAGAATGCGGAGTCAGAGCTGCACAGTCTGAAAGTGGAGGGTTTGGCCATGTCTAAAACCAAAATATAAAAGTTATGGCTCAGACAATGAAAAAGCACCACAGAGCTGATTGGCTGCTGGATTAGCACCTTAGCACCTTATTAGCACCTTTTGGAATTCTTTGCCAAAGTCTCAACTCAATTTTTGCAATACTATTTAGCGCTCTCGCTTCTCAGAAAGAAGATCCTGGGTTCGAATCACAGTTGGAACAGCTGAGTCGAGTTGGCTTGCTCTCCCCATGTCTGCGAAGGTTTCCTCTGGGTGCTCCGGTTTCCCCTACCGCTAAAAACATGTACAATAGAAGTGAATGTATTGTGTGAGTGAATGGATGGTGTTGATTGGAGGCGTGTGTAGAGAATGGAATTCTGAACATTGTAAAGCACTTTGGGTGACCTTGGTCTGTAAAATGCGCCATATAAATAAACAATACATTTCATTACATTTTACAAATCAGGGTTACACCAAGAGCTTCATGTTTTTGGAGTGCCAATATTTTTCTATTCACTCCATGCTGGGTGATGCCAGAAGCGAGACGCCAAACCAAAGTGCATCAAAGCCTTCAATCATCTCCATCCGTTCACTCACTCAAAGAAGAAGACAATCAGACGCTATTAAAACAATTTTTGGCGTGACAGCGTCTTGTACCCCAACACAATTTGGCACTTTACAGCCGCCCCACTGTGGCACCTGGTGAGGTTTCCCCATCACTAGTAACTCTGCCCTGTACTGCTAAGCTTCAGACGTCTGACGAGTTTTTGCCTAATACCCTTGGCTAGGTGCATGGCCTAACCTTCTCAATATCTTTTTGAATGGCCCTTATCTTTTTATAGCAAAATGTACTACTCCTATATTCTCATTTGAAGGCTGGTTACCCTTGTTGTCCCCGTGAATACATGCACAATAACCAGCGCACAGACGATACAGAGCAGAAGTCACTTACTAAAGCATGTTGGTTATGAACGAGCGAGTCAAGACTACTCGGGTAGGTGGTCTAGGATGTTTATTTTGGAGTTGCTTTGTGATCCCGTCCCTCAGGCAGCAGTGGTGTAATGTGTAATTTGCTATTTGCTCAATGCCTGAAAGGAGATCTGTGCACACCTGCCAGCCAGCGGCAACACAACACAGGAGCTCACGTCAATCAAGCGCCACTTCCTGTTACTGTTGTCACCACGGAAACATAGTACGTTCTGAAAAAGGGCTTCAATCTATACGCATACATTCTGGACAGTGGCATTCAGTCTGTGCATGGCTGACAAATGCAGTGTAAAGCAAAAGACATATTGCCTATTTAGATTTTTTCACAGCCTGTTCACATGCTGCATCTTTTTTGATAATTGCGATCCAGGTGCTGAGGTGTGAGAGCTGAGACAAATAGAACGTGCAACTTCTCTGTTTTGATTATACATATGTTTCATGATAATTCAGTTTGCTAATCACCTTTGTATAGTGAGCAAATGCTTGATAAATGTAGGCACAAAGTATTATATGTCACGCCACTGGCTGAATGTTTTGGACAAAGGTGGAGTCCATATGTTTAAAAACTGTACAACCTGTCTCGCTTTCGTCGTCTCACCGTCGATGTGAGGTAGAGGATGACAACAATCTCTGCACTCTGAACCTTGGAAAGCGCTTATGGGTGACTTGGTCTGCAAAAAAGGTAATCATGAATGAGAGTCAGTACTTACTATTTTTTTTTTTATTTAGTTATTCTGCACCTTCTCCATCGACTCCCACTGTCATGGACTGCTGTCGTTGTGT